TCTCTCCTCCCTTTCTCCTTTATTTACAAATAATATTTTCCACAGTTGAGATCATGATTCAATTGAAGCTAGACAACCATGGAAAACCTGGAAGCACTGGACGGCCGTTTCGTTCTAGTGTGGGACTTTTCAGAAGTGCGCATCCACGATCCCGCCCTCACCATCGAGATTCGAACCCAGGACCTATCAGTCTCGCGCCAGGCGCCTAACCAACTAGACCACTGAGCCAGCATCCAACAGTGTTAATATCTAACTTCAACTAATCCACGAAATTGAGTGACACATCCACCAGTGTCATTAGTGAGTTACTATCTCACAATTGACTCGGTTGAACTCCACTGGTCACTGCTTCCATGGTGGTCTAGCTTCAATTGACTCATGATCTCAACTGTTGAAATTACTACAATCTCCACAAGACCCCTTCTGATATTAATTATTATTCTACTTATTTGAACTTTCATTTAATACTTTGACAAGTCTATACGTAATCAGATTGCTTAATGCATAATGCAAACACATTACACTAATTTTTTTATAGATCAACTCTATCTTTTCATTATTCAATCGAAATTGATAAAAGGTATTAATTACTTGAAAGTTAGTTTTAATTTATTATATTATAGAATTCAAACAGAAAAGTATAATGCTATTTATCATTCATCATTATGATTGTGTTTTTTTTTAATGGAAAATACTATTTACAAATAATGATTTATGAAACCAAATACTCTAAATAACTATCACCGGAAACTATAAGCCAAAACAATTAATAATTAAATCATTATATACTCAAAAGATACAAGCCAGTTAAAGGCAATAAAAATGTACTGTTATTATGAATAATTCGGAGGTATTGAACAAATATAAGTTAGAAGGGTTTCTATGAATATTATAGTATTTTTAATAGTTGAGATCATAAGTCAATTAAAGCTAGATTACCATGGAAAAATCGAGAGCATAGGACGGCCGTTCCGTTCTAGTGTGGGACTCCTCTGCTGTGCACATCAACGATCCCGCCCCCCTCGCGAGATTCGAACCCAGGACCTATCATTTCCGTGCGCAACCGCTTAACCACTAAACCACTGAGCCGACCGGCATCCAACGGTGTTAATGTTTAATTTCAATCAGTCCAAGGAATTGAACGACACATCTCCCACCGTTTTCAATGAGTTACTATCTCACAGCAGTTAATCATACTAAACAACTGATTAATTCTGTTAATAGGTTCCATTTCAAATTCGAACTCACAAAACTTGCATTTACATATACTACTCATATCACGAATGGATAATACTATGATGTAATCGGTTATCCCTTGATCTACTAATCCAGGTAGACACGAACTTGTTTATTCAGTGTGGTGTTGATTTCTATTATTATTATTATTATTATTATTATTATTATTATTATTATTATTATTATTATTATTATTATTATAAGCTTTATTCAATATTATATTTTTGGTACAATATAGAATTCTCAGCACAAAGTATTTAAGCAAGTTTCCGTTTCTTTCTTCTTGGTCGATCCTGACGATAAATATTGAGTGATAGCCAGTTAGATGTTAGCAGTCCAGTAAATAAACATCTGAATAATGTATATTCTTTTCTCTGCATAATGCCAGCGACCACATTATCACTTATTGAGCTTTTTGTAACTTTGACAACGAAAGGTTGTAAACTTTTCAGAAATGCACTAGGATGGGTTATGCGATTAATATACATAATGATATATTAAAACAAACAAAAATAGATAACTTGTTGAAATATTTAGATGACAGGAACAGGTAGCCCAGATGCTCAAGCAGGCCGCCCAATTATAATAATAAAGGTTTGAATGGCCTCGTTTTAAAGATTGCTGACTGAATTTTTATCGCTTTTTGTTAGTATACGTGTATCCTTAAACTTAAGGAATTTGTTTTCATACTGGTCAGTTTTCCTTTCAGTGCGTTGATTTCTTGTCTTATACTCAAGGTCATTTTGCCCGTCAATTAGTACGCATGCGTTGATAGCCCCAATCGCTTTTGTTTTGGATGTGGACAACCGATAAGCGGAATGACGTATATTGGACTTTTCTGAAAGCTCTTAATACTTTAGTGCGAAAAGTGATACTTTTTTCGATTACGATCGCTGGTTAACATACAGGGTATAAATTTATACAATAGATCTATACTACTAAGAAGTAGTTAAAATATATTCACACATGTTTTGCTTCATAACAAATCACGAAGGATTATCGGTGTCAGTAAACCTTATTTATGTATGATATTTGACAGGAAGGGTAGGTATCTCCGAACTTTAATTAAGTGTAGACACCATTTTCCAACTTTAAAATAGATATTTCGACCAGTGAAATCGTAATGTGCGATTACGAAATGGTTTAAATTACGAACTAATATCAGCTAGTCCACCATTCAAAATACTCGATTCATCCTAGTATAGGACTTCTCAGAAGCATGCAACTACGATCGCGCATCCAGAGATGGAAATGAGGACTTTCAGTTTGGCGTGCGACTACCTTACCTCCAGATTACTGAGTTGGCGTCCAACAGTGTTAGTATCAAACTTCAATCAATTCCTGATATCACAATGCCATCTTTAGTTGTCTTCGCTAGGTAACTGCCCCATACAGGAAGCCGCTGCACGCCACTAGTCACGTCTGTCTGCAATAACTAAGGTAATTACCCCTAGCAATTAGGCACTTCTGAGTATAAATTGTTGAATTTTTTTTAGATTACGAACCCATCTAAGAAAGACATGCAATTAAAATGAAGAATCATTGGTTAGCTCTGTCATCACAGTGTGAGACTCTTCAGGTTACGCAGCAGCTATGGACTTTTTGATAGCTCCAAAAACGCTGTCTTGTGCCTTTTTGTTGTCAATATTTGTCTTTCATCGTTTAGTAAAATCTATAACAAACAACAACCTCCATAACACAGCGTATACTAAAAAACCATCTTTACTCGTAGTACTGTAGTGAACAAGAACATCAATGGGGACAATCGAATGTATTTAACACAAAATTACAGGACTTGTTAATAAAACCTAACAATCCTAAAGTATATGCTTAATTTGCAAAATGTCCATCGATTGTCTCATAATGAATCAGACTTCATTGTTCCTGCATTTTCATACAAATTGTATTTGGTTTCCATTCTTTACTGTTCGATCCTCTTGTCTCTTTGCTGTCCGACCTTCTGTTCACGACTATCATCGTATACTACTTATTTCAATATAAGTAGCACACACCATAGTACTACTACCAAACGAAAAGATTTAGTTAGCGTGGAATTATTAATATATGAGCAGTTATTTATTGATGTTTGCCTCAAAAAGTTTTGAAGAACTAAGATAGTAATATCTGACGTGTGGACAACAATAAAATTCTCAATGAAAAGAATTCATGTATTTTTAGAAGTGTCGGGTGGTACCAACATCAATTTCTTTTTACTTCCAAGTTAAGGTACAGAGATTTGGTCAGAAAAAAAGGGATATTTGCAGAATAATAACTGAAGTGCAATAGTTGTCACGTGATACATGCTTCACTACAAAATTACAATGTTTCAAAGTTTAATTAAAGCTGAATATTACCATACTCAAGTTAATTTATCTTTCATATAGCTCACAAACACCTACACACAGACAATATTACATTGCTTTGGTTATAAAAATACATTGTCTTCCAGGTACTAACTTATAATCAATATTGTATTATAATACCATAGGTATTTTATATCACATTCAAACTGACAGATATTATAAGTCGAAATTGATGATATAATACTATAAATGCAATGATTATACCGTTACAACTTTGATTATGGAGCTCTGTTGAATAAATATCCCAGTCAGAAGTTACAGATCAATGTCCGTTTACCCTATTCCATCAGCAACAACCTAATATAAGAGAGAACAAACCAGCTTCCAGTTCAAGAGGAAGTTATGAATAGACTCTAGAGGTGGATAAGATATACATTGAGGAAATCATCAAACTGAATCACGAGGGGATCGCTAACTTGGAATCGTGAAGGGATACAGAAAAGAGGAATATTAAAGAACACACTAAGTCGGGAATTGAAAGCAAACATGAATAGGAAGAATAGCAACTGGAAAGAATTGGAATGGATTGACTAGAACAGAGTTGGATGAAGAACGCTGGTGATCGGCCTATGCTACTGAACGAGGGGTAACAGGTATAATTAAGCGCATATAACCTAATATAATATCAAAGCATCTTCTGATTGAGCTTATTAACCAATAGGGAATAATCAGATCTGATCTACAATGTATTGGACACTATAAATATTCGTAATTATTTAACAAAACGTATCATTTGAATTTATACGCAATATTATTTTCAGGAATGGGGTTTTGTAGACTTTATAGTAGTTTAATAGTTGAGATCATGAGTCAATTATAGCTAGACCACCATAGAAAACCTGGAATCACTGGACAGCCGTTTAATTCTAGTATTAGACTTCTCAACAGTGCACATCCACGATCCAGCCTCGAGAGATCCAAACCCAAGACCAATCTGTCTCGCGTGCGATACTTTACCTCCAAACCACTGACCTGGCATCCAACGGTGTTCATGCCTAACTTCAACCGATTCATAAAATATCATTTTAATAAAACAAATTTTAATTTTTTCCTGAAATAATATCTTTCTGTAATGTTACTATAGAAACCAAATTCAAAAAAATGTAGAACAATGGTCATGGTCCAAAGTGGGTTTTTTTTTATAAAAAAACACACACACAATTTATTCAGTATTTGAATATCAAAAAGAACAAACAATTCGAAATATTATACAGTACAATGATAATATATAGGCACTTAGTCGATTATCATTCTAAATATTATCGCACAATTGAATCCCATAAAAATCAATATTTTTTATTACACTATGGGATTCATTCAAATTCTTTTTTATTTTTGTTTTTCTCTTCGTTTTTCTTTTTTTTACTCTTTTTGTATATAAATTTGCGTTTAAATTATTCATTAAGAATATGCTAATTGAAAACGTAATAAACATTGTGTTAACCAATTGGTATAGTATAAATGAGCAATTGGTAAGATGATATGCTAAAAGAGAAGAAACATAGAAATAATGATGAAAGAAAAAGAAGAGAAGATACAACCATTGATTAGTAAAGCATATTACTTATAATAAGTAATATATATTTCCCCCAAATGTCCTGGTATGGCCGAGAGTGCGGTGGGCTCGCCCTGCATTTCGAAATACTCTCACACGGCCACCAGGGAAGTCCTACTCACTGCCTTCTCGTGGCGGGGGTGTTGTTTACGAAAATGAGAGGACGGAAAGCGAATGTCCGGCGCTTTAACAGGATCCTAAACCAATGGTGCACATGGGCTCCAGTATCCTGCGGGAAAAAATGGTGTAATAACCAATCGTTGGTCACCGGCTACCATGGGAATGCATCTCCTCACGGTGCTCCACTGCCTTGTGGGTCAGACCTTTAGGTCAAAGGCTAGGGGTGTGGCCCTCTAAGAAAACCACCGGCTTCGGTCTGGGCACCCGGGCAATATCACAGCCCACACACATACACGCATATGGTGTGGCGCATATATATTTGATGCCCTCTTGTACCAATATTTATATGTTGAAATAAATAAATAAATAAAAGCAAAACATATTATAAGGATGAGGTAATCGGAATTCAGATATCATGTATCATAAGCAGTGAAATATATTTATATAGTATTCAGAACTATTATAGAATATAAATAATAGGGTTAAATGTATCAAATACTTCATTCTGTCATATTCGATTGTATATACCAGGTAAATCGATATTAACCTTATATTCTTACTTTAAACTTTATATCCGGAAACAAATCTTAACTCTATTTCATTATAGACTAATTAAATTCTAATTGAATCTTTATCAGAGTTCGGGAGAAAGTTGAAGATCTATATCCATTTAAACATAATTGTATTGTAATTGTTTCCTTTTTTTCGATATATAAGTAGAGTAACCTGTTTACACATTATAATACTGTTGTTTTCATCCCTATTAATGATTCATTTAAAAAAGCTGTTCTTGAATCAACTAATAAATGGTTTAAAAACATACATCAAGATTAAAAAAACCTAAAAGGATCTTAGATTTTTCCAGAAGGGATACCGTAACTCTTGTTTTCTTTGTACGAACGACAGGGATGATTCTATGATGTATCCTTCATCGCCCTCTGTTGTATAAGTATGTCAATATCTATAATAACGTTCAATTTCAAATATTTTAGGTTGTAAGCAGCTGATGAGAACCTAACGAAATAAAATGAATTCATATTATTCTGCACCAACCTTTGTTCTTACTCTCTTTAAAATAATAAAGGGAACTATGTGTATGATCGACATGTATTAATTCTAGATACTCAGATCAGATAATTAATTTCCCAAACGCTAAATAAACTCAGATCAAGATATAAGTTATCAGTGTGACTAACACACATATATTACAACTCTTTGACCCTAAATGCCCCAGTATGTTTGAAGATGCGGAGAGCACGTACTCCCTCTCCAAATGCTCTCACATGGCCACGCGTATACTGCCACTGTCCTACTCATTGCCTTCTCGTGGCTGGGATGTTGTTTACGAAACTGAGTGGACTAAAAGCGAATTTTCAGAGCTTTAACCGGGTTGGTGGATATGGAGGATCCACCTAGAGGAGTTGGAAAACCAGGATTCCAAACCACTGGTGCACATGAGTATCAGGATTCTGAGGGAACAAATAGAGTATGAACTTAATGTTGGTCACCGGCTACCATGGGACTGCATCTCCTAACGATGATTCACTTTTGAGATTAAATGGTGGTTGGAGGTAGTCAACAGTCCTTAATAGTGCACTTATCCCTCAAGATTACAGGTACACCTTGCTGACGAGTGCCAAGTAGCACGAAACCCGGGTCCAGGGTTTCCTGTTGACTACCTCCAACCACCATCTAATCTCAATACATAGTGCCCGCAGTGTCGAGTCACCTAGACTGGTGGCCACATTGCAACATGATCGATAGCATTCGATCTGCACTATTAAGGACTAGACAAGCATGAGATTGGTCACCACCCAGTGATCAATCAATTGTGATGATTCACTATCTTATGGATTGAACTTTTAGGTCAAAGGCTCAGATTGTGGCTTCCTAAGAAAACTACCTGCTTCGGTTTGAGCATCCGGACAGTATCATAACCCTCACAAAAACCAAATGATGATTACTAACGGAAAGATTACTTTTGCTTAAACTCACTTCCAGGCAAACCCCACTTACAATCATTTGATAAAATTCGTTTTTCCTTATTTTATACTACGTCACTTATGGCGCCTCTGTGGCGCGATGGGTCGTATGGCGCATATGTATTCAATGCCTACTTGTACCAATGTTTATGTGTTCAAACAATAATACAACTCTTAACAAGAAGTTACAAAATGTACATAATTATCTGTCTGCATTCATTAACCAATCGCAGACCACTATGATCGGGTGTAAACATCAGGAACAATCGTACGGCTATTCCGTTACTGTGTGAAAAATAAAAAGAAGTAAGATCTTAAGATGCACTTCAGTCCAGTCATCAAGCTTTAATAGCCAGCTCAAACTAAGTAACCAGACTTTTAATAGAATTACGTCGGGTTTCTATCCCTTTTATAGTTCATAAACCAAGTAATGTAACCGTTTTCTAAAAACAAATGTATGTTAAGCAAAGATGGATAGTGGCTAGCAGTGGAATCCAGGACGCGCGTTTCGTCCTATTTGGGACTAGTCAGCTGGATGTACCTGCATCTCAGAGTTGATGTTCACTCTGTGACCGAACCCAGTACCGTTCACTTCAAACGCCATCGCGTTATTCATCTCTGCTTATAATGCTCGTAAATTAAAGCAATATCAAGGCAATACGCACAGTATGCACATATGCCAATAAGAGACTGATCAATTTCAGTCCTAAAAACATCAACGGGAAGATTCAAGTAAAACAATATCAAGTGAAATGTATGTTAAATTAGAGAATTTATCTTAATTTACTCACTGGGATACAGATATTTAACTTTCTGTAAATTTTCTGCTTCATCCAAATAAGTTCACTTTTAAGCAGTGAGATTCGATGAGCGAAATTGTACTCAAGCAAACATTTGCTTCATTTTCAGTGAATTTGCTCATTTTTTAAACAACTCATGTTTTATCCTTTGGTAGTTGACTACTTATATATGTATCAGTAGTTAGATTTTACATGTAGTAATACAATCTCAGCCAGTGAATATTCGTGTAGTTCGCAAAACCTAACTAAATTAAGACTGACAGACAACCAAATTCAGTATTCTTTAGATTTATTTGATTTTCCGGTTAATAATTACCGCATTTAGTACATAGAATTACAACAATGTGAGTTCGGATCTGCAGCAGCGTATGAATTTTTTTTGAGATATAGAATCGATCATTTGATTATAAACATTACAACAAACATGTAGCAGATGTTTTCTACTTCGAGAGTTACTCATGTATCAGCCCGAAAGAGAATGAATCATAAAGGATGCAAAGATCAAATTAACAATACGTTCTTCAGTCTTTTTAATACAGTAAATTAGATTAAACTGGTGAGAATGATTCAAAATATGTGACAGGAATAAGACCACATTTAAATAAATTACAAACACCCGTAATGTACACAAAATCACTGTGCATATCTATTAAAATGATCATATTATTAAATGACTATAATGAGGGCGAATATAATCGAATTTATTCCTTAATGTGTTGAATACTGTTCATATTAGTAACCAGGCTCGCATATGATTGAGTGCAACACTCTGAACTACAGTTAACATTTGAAACCTAGAAATATTGACCACATATCTAGAGTGAAATATGTAAAACTTTTAGTTAGAACTCCAGATCTATATGTTCGCAAATCGTCGAACAATTATTAATAAATGAAATATTACTGTGAAGACAATTTTCTATAGTTGGTGTAAAGTGGCTAAAGAACTAACACTATAGAATTGGGATGCAGCACAAATCCAAGACATTTTATTTCTTGAAGTTTGACTACTTAAATAAATACTAGTAGTTACATTCTTCACGTAAAAGTTTGAAGCCAAGATCGTATGACTTACTTTATAAAACATGTTATTTTTATTTGAGCTGATGGTTAATTTCATCCTGGATTTTTCTTGGTCAATAGAGGTGAAAGCAAAATCAAATCTTGTCTCTAACCAGTCGTCTAGGATAAAGGTGAAGCTGGTATTTGGCTCAATAGATAATATTTGTGCAACATAAGACATAGTACCTGTAACGACGAATTTAGAAAGTAAGTTTTTCATTTGTAAATTTCGATTAATAAACATACTCTGTTGTACACTAACTTGTTTGCATAGTAGGAAGTGAATTTTTATTGAGCAAAACTTATCACAATGATGTATAATTTATGTTTAGCAACGTGGCCGACAAATAGAAATACATTGTACAAAGTATATAACCTACTGACTGGTCAATGATGAGGCATCTCTCTTCACTGACAGACATAATAAAAACACCACAAATGTATTACTCTTTCTGAATAGACAAACGTGCTGTGACGAATTTTCTACTATCTAATCTTAACTAAAGAAACATTCTTAGCTATTCACATCGCGCAATAATTTAATATCAATCTTTAAGTATGATTAAATTTTCTCGTTACATCTCAAGGAGATGATGATAGTCCTTGCTTATAAACTGATAAACGACGTAGACAAAATTCATGTTCACCGAGTGACTGGACGGTACAGAGATATATGTTTTGATTGAACGGTATTTGATTTATTGAGGTGGGTGTTTGAATACGTCATTCATTCTGTTTAGTTAAGTGAAACAATTACCACTGAATTCATTTGGTAACATTAGACAACTGCAACGGATACCTACCTAAAATTGGTAACACCTCGTATAATATTTCTTCCAAGATATTGACTACTTAATAAAAATCGAAATAAGTGGAAATTTTTGGTTAAATTCAATTGGAACACTTGATATCTTAACTTGGTCTCAACTTACAGAGATGGGTCGGAACTTTTTGACCACTATATAGTTCAACCAGTACATTCTGAAATAAATATTTATTTCTGTAATATCAGGCGGCAAGCCTTTTAGGTCCTGTTAAGCTGAAAAAGGAGCGAAAACAGTCCTTTCTCAGCCATTAAAAACAGCCATGCTAGTAGTGGTAATTAGCAACTTTTTCAAGAACTAACACATTCATAAGGTAATTTGTTTCTATGATGTATACAAATGGGTATTGCATGGAGATAAGCAGTTTACAGAAACGGAAGAGAAATTTTAAACATAATGTAATTCCAACTAAACATTCTTCAAAAATCAAGATTACAAAAGTCAGAATGTATTCAATTCGTGTACTAAATGGTGACACTGACGGAAATATCTCCAAAACCATTAAAAATAGTCAGTAGACAGATAGAATTGAGTTTTTTGTGCTTTTTGAAGTCATTAAAAGGTTGAAATTAAAATTCGTATATTCAAAATAACGATATTGTTAATATTAAATTGCTTTATTGACCACACATTTGAATACTTTCCCATGTGGCATGTAAATTCAGGCAGTTTCTGAAAAAACTCCGTTTTTGTTCTGCTTCCTTTCTCAACTCTGTTTATCTAACTCTATTTGTTCATTTTGGTTTTCTCTGCTGGAAGATGAAATCTTGTCATCTATAGGATAATCCCTCCATTATTAAAATTTCTTTCGCTGCATTCAATTCCATCTCCTTCCTTAGCGTGTTCATTGATTTAATAAACGATCTTATGAATGATGTTTACAAACTCATGTACATCTAAAGTTTCTTAGTAATTTACATAGATGTCACTTCGTATGAAAACACGTTCTCGTGGATATGACATTAATTTTTAGCCTTTACATTTGATGCTACTGTTTTGAGTTATAAGTAGTTGAAGATAAAGTATAAAATAAGTGAATATGTGTCATGGGGCTTTGGGTGTTGTTCTCGACTGATAGAAAATTATTTAAGGTAGAAATTGTATCAAACCATGCATACAATGAAAGTAATGGTTTAATGATTGTTTTATGAAATTCATAAATATATCTTACCTAAAAATCCATAATCAACCACCATAATAAATTCTTCACCAATAGCAAGATGGAATGATTTCGTCAAATTTTCTATGGATAAAACGGAAGGTATCCACTGTAAGACAGAATAAGGAAAAACAAATAGATAAAATGGAACAATTCCACTCATTCAAAATCACACTATTCAAAGTGTCTATTGACGGTTTACTAATGAACAGGATTAGAATGATGAAAATGATTCTGAGTATAAATATTTCGAGTAGTTCTTCTGAAAGTTTTTCTATTTAGTTAGTAATATCTTTCATTATAAGCTGATTTCATGTGGAGAACCAGTAAAAGCCAAAAGAGAGGAGAAACATATGCTTTGTTTCGGTTTAATACTCTATGAAATTTTGAAGACACAACCCTACATAGGGTCAAATGCAAGACTTACACATATCACAGCAGGTATGATCATTCAGTCTACACAGGATCTGATATAAATAGTCGTTGGATCAAGGAGACCCCCACTTTGGACCAACATATCACAAAAAAGAATTAATAGGAGGCAAAATATTGTCATCGACTACAGAAGAAATGTAGATATCGGAAGTATAGTTCACAAGAAATGATTGAAGAATGAAAAGTAGGAAATGATTTCATACAATATTTTCCTGTTGATAAATTTGATCATAGCAGGCACGATAAACGTAACAGAGTGACGTGAATTCATTCCTATTTTGTAGTTTCTCAATGACTATTTACAACCTAAACATAGTAGTATTTATTCTTTAAATTCAGTGTATAGCGTTATATAAGGAAGGTTTTTATCAGTGAGAATGAATGAAAAGACCAATAAGTATTGAAAAATTACAAGTGTCTTTTTTTTACAAATATTTATCGGTTGAATATATACATATACTGGCATAAAAACTAAGAGCATAGAAACAGAATTATTTAGACATGAAATAGCAATGTCATAGTTATGTAATTATTAAAGCAAAATAGAATTGATGAATTGAGAGCAGATCAAATGTATGAATGAAAAATTTTGTTTTAAGTCTTTTTGTAGCGACTAATTCAGTGAGATATAGTAAATTCGACATTATCTGTTTAGCAACTATGTTGACAGACTTTGAAACATCGATTCCATGACCACTATCAAGCAATTGACATTCAATTGAACTGCTAAGAACGTACTTTTCTTTACACCAAATCTTCTGTAGAATGTAGTCAGAGATCCGAACACTAACCCTCCTCTCTGTCCTATATATATGTATATAAACTGGTTGATATGAATAGAAGTAACGTCAAGTAGAAATTCGTTCACATTTGACTTTTACAGTGAGCGGTTTCTTTGGTCCAAAAGTATCAGCTTGTCAGCTGGATACATCTTGATTATTATGGATTCCAGGCTAAAATCAATCTTATCAGCTATTCCATCATCCTTGAAGCTGAGTCCTTGGAAGGCGAATTTCTTCTCAATCATAACATGAAGGGAAATTATTTAAAAATTAAAAGATAGAATTACTATGCTGATAATTATCATGTGCTCGCTAGTAAAAACTTCGACAGGTAATTCTCGGAGTTCTGGTGAGAAGCTGTGACCAGTGGAATTCAACCGTATCGAGAGTAAGACAGTTAACCACAGAACAAAATGGAAGATGGTCACACAATATCGTGGATTGGTTGAAATTGGAGATTAACACCGTATGATTTCTGCTCAATGGTCTGGAGGTTAAGTGTTTGCTTACGAGACCGAAGGTCATGGGTTTGAATGCTGCATGTTGGATCTTGGATCTGCACTGTCGAGGAGTCCCATACTAGGACGAAATGATCGTCCAGTGTTTTTAGGTTCTCAATGGTGGTCTAACGTTGATCGGTTCATGATCTCAATTAATATTATCGTCAGTTAAGAATGACTTTTTTCATCAAAAGAGAATCTAAAAAAACAAATTATTATTTGAACAATAACGAACGAACTAATTCGCTGATTTGAGTGGTTCTGTAGAGATTCGTCACGAGACCAAATAGGCTTGGACTCGATCCAACATCAGTTCACGAAGTTACTGAGTATTAGTTGTAATCATCCTTAATTATTTATTATTAGTTTATTTAAGCAAATAAACATTATTACGAAAGGGCACCGAGTAGATTTACACCACACAAGTCTCTTCATTTGTGTGTGGGCTGTGATAATACCCGATTGTACAGATACAAGTAGGTGGTCTTCTTAGGTGACCGCACCCGGAGACTTACACCTAAAGGGCTGATCCAAAAGGTGGTGGAGCAACGTCGGAAGATTCAGTCCCATGGTAACCGGTTACCAACGATTGGTTCATACGCCATTTGTTCCTTCGGAATCCTGTAGCCCATGTGCACCAATGATTTGGAATCAGGGTTTTCCAACTCCCCTAATTGGATCCTCCATATCCATCAACCCGGTTAAAGTGCTGGAAATCTGCTTTCGGTCCTCTCAATTTCGTAAACAACACCCCCGCCGCGAGAAGGAAGTAAGTAAAACTTCCGTGACAGTGGCTGTATACGCGTAGTCATGTGAGAGGGGGCCGACTGTTCCCGCTCTCGGCTGTACCAGGGCATTTAGGGTCTTGAATCACGCTAGTAGATGCAAACTTCCTGATTGGGCATCGAAGTGATCAGTGGTTCAAGGAGTTGGGCGAAATGGTTTAAAATAAGTCGAAATAACATATATATGTTTATCATTCGCCTTACTCTAGATCTTGAATCCCAGCACTTCTTCAAATTAACCGTTCCTCTTTACCTTTTTAAATCATATTAACAATGCTAAATCATTCTCATTATCACTCGTAGTACAATATTTCTACTCCTTTATTTTATTTATCTTGTTAAATTCAAATAGTTAGGACATTATGGTAATATCAAATTAAGACAACTCATGTTTGCGTCATGATCTTCATTGATCATAATTGACCAACTGACATGATTAGTCGGTACATTTGGCATGATAGGAAATAGGATCAGTTTTTCAAGTACTTTGTAAATTTTATTGATTCTTCAATGAACGCCAGTTTTCTAGCAAAGGTGATCATTGAAATTAGGATAAAATCAATATAGTCAAATTGAATGATATTTTGTTTAAAGAAATATTTAACTTACACGAGGATACGTATACAGATTTGTGACATGACGATAACATTCATGAATAGGTATTGAAACAACAACTTCTTTTTGACCAATTTTCCCATTATGAATAACAACTAATCGACTTATTGATGCAAGTAAAAGTAAAAGTGCTGCTAAAATGAATTTCATTTTTGTATATGTATACTTCTCACACTAAGAAAAAAGAACAGAATACGGTTTCCAAGTTATTTTCAGATAACTTATATATGTAAATAGAAATGAAAAGAGAAGAGAGAAAGAGAGAGAGAGAGAATATAATGAACAGCTTATATTTTATTGGTCAGCTGATTTACAACCAATCAAAATGACATTCATTTATCGATCAGTCTTATTCACTACTATGACTACTATTGAAGTATTATTCCCATAGTGAAGGAAGGAGAAAACATATCGTCAACTTAATGTTTTCTCATAACAATACATTTGTTAAGTATATATGATAACCTTTTGTATACATTTATGAATGACGAAAAATACTGAGACAATATGTTAGCTGAAGTCCATATATATTGTATAACATGGGAGTTTGTTTTAGGTCTCTCCAATGTAGAAAGATTTCCACGAAGGAAATGTTTGGGACGCGTTGCTATTCCTTTAAATGTAAGTTGTTGCTTCAGGACCGGCCTGCGTCAACAACTGAACTAAGGATAGAGAGTGAAGTAGTCGGACACGTCGACAACTTCACCACCTCGGAAGTCTCATCAACCCTATTGGGTTGGTGTTTGACAAAATCTCTGCACGGATTCAAAAAGCTCGTTTGGCTTTTGCCAACTTATCTCACCTATGGCGAAGGCGAGATACTCGTCTATCAATTAAGGGACGAGTATACAGTGCGGCAGTTTGTTCTGTTCCACTTTTTGGCTGCAAAACGTGGCCTTTAAGACTAGAAGATACTCGATCACAGATGTCTTAGAAATAGTGCTCGCATCTGGTGGGATCACCGGGTAAGTAATAGTGAGGTTAGACGCAGGGTATTAGGGAATGATGGTAAATCAGTTGATAAGGTTGTAAAACTTCATCGACTGTGTTGCGTATGCCTGAACACCAATTACCACGACGCGCAATGCTGACTAGTGTTGAAAACGAGTGGAAGAATGTTAGGGGCGGCCAAACAAAAACGTGGCATCAGTCCATAAAGTCACTAACCTATGATATGAGCCATGTTGGTAGATGCAGACTACTTGGTTGAGGTCTGCGTGACTATCGTAACCAATGGTTGGAGACTTTATGTGACATAGCTCAGAATCGATCACAATGACGTCGGTGTGTACCCTCTTTGTTTTCCCTTAAACCGCGAGATTAAAATCGCTTCATATCTTTCTGCACTATATCCTTATGCACAAACTTTCTTTTATAATATAACTGCTACTGAAGTAACTACGCCTATTAATCCGGTGTTCATCTTGTTGTGGTAATGATGTGTGGCAACTTGGACCGATGCGCATGTATGTCTGGTCCTACGTTGCAGCTGACTGACTGGCAGTGTAAAGAAGACTAATGAAACATTAAATTCTTGATAATTCAAACACTTTTTCCAATTTCAAACAGTTAAACTCCTTGTAACTTTATACAACTCAAACCGGAGATAAAAATTTGTCCAAATTACGTGACATATTAGTGAAATACATTTTGAAAAATCTGATCACATATTTACATGTTAAAATATTTGTGTAATCTGGTGAGACTATGATTTATGGATGGATCAATGAAATTAAGGATAGTGAGTTTTGGTTTTTTTCATGAAATTCATTCATCTATTTAATCAAAGAGTATTTTGAGATTATAGCTGATGTTAGTTCGTGATGAAAATTCTTAATTAATTGACTAACCCTAGGTCACAATCCTAATTCTTCATACTAATTCATAACCATCTTAGATCCTAATGAGTTATCCCAAGGTCACGTGGGCGTCGCTCTGAGGTCATCCACAGACTATAATCTCTCTGTATCTTATCCTATTATGAGACTTTACAGCAATATACATCCATGACCCCAACGTGGATCAAACCCAGGACCTTCAGGTTTCTAGGCTGGCGCCTAACCTTTATATGTGAAAAATGAAGATCAACTAGATAAATTGTAAGATAAGAATGAATCACACTACTATGGATGATAAATCAACATTACCAAGGCGGGTTTAGGAGGTAAAAAAAGCTGGTCTTGCATACAAAGAAATGGTGTGATTTTTCGTAAGTCTAAGGCCTCAATAAACTTTAGTATTCGCCCCTGGAAACGTTTGCACAACACCACAAAGGCTGATTTGATATATACTCCTGTGGCCAACTTTGACTAAATACTTAGAAATGGAGTAAAGTGTTTGTTTATCATATCTTCTTATTAGACTACTGGAACTCATTTGTTTTTGTGAACATTCAGATATGTGTTTAACCACCCTCATACTTAGACCACGATTGCCTCCTTATATATATATATATATATATATATATATATATATATATATATATATATATATATATATATATATATATATATATATATATATATATATATTCCCTTTACATATACTCTTTCCAAATGTTTCTTTAACAGATTATTTGCATTTTCAGATTTGTCACATAGGACTATGGTATCATCCACATACCGTTTTGATATGTTTATGAACAAAAATTGTATTCAAAATATTGAGTAAAATAAATAAAACAACACAGAATATGAACAAACAGAAACTCTGTACAACATAAAAGTTAGCTATTTTTGCCTCTTAAATATAAATGTAGAAGTTACATTGATCTTAAATCAATAATGTCGTTGTAGCCCACAAACTAAGTTCACAAGCATGTACATAACTCTGAACCGGAGGTTTTATATCAGGGTAAGTAATACTAACTTACTTACTTACTTACGCCTGTTACTCCTCGTGAAGGAGCATAGGCCGCTCACCAGCATTCTCCATCCAACCCTGTCCTGGGCAATCCTTTCCAGCTCCTTCCAGTTGTAATTCATCCTTTTCATATCTGCTTCTATTATTCGACGTAATGTGTTCTTTGGCCTTCCTCTTTTCCGCTTCCCTTCAGGATTCCAAGTTAGGGCTTGTCTCGTGATACAGTTTGACGATTTGCGTAATGTATGTCCTATCCATTTCCATCGTCTTTCGTTAATTTCCTCTTCAGCTGGAAGTTGGTTTGTTCTCTCCCACAGAGAAGTAATACTAACTGGTTGCAAGAATTGACGTTAGAATGTGTTTGAATTTGCAGGGATATGATTGAATATTGTGTACTTTAACTGGTAGTCCATCACTTTACTTCTGGTACCATTATAGGCAAAAATTAAGTAGTTTACTCTTTGCTTATCAACAAATAAGAGGTATGATAGATAATCCCTGTTTTATTCACTAATTAAAAGTCAGATTCCCTAATAATTGACTTTTTCGAGACACTAAGTCAAATTCATTACTTGGTTTGGAAATTAGAAAACTGACAACCAATTTGTGTAAAATTTTATTGCACCGCAACACTGAATCGTCCGATCGATCCAAATCGACAGATCGCTTCTTATGCGAAAAAATATTGTTAATTTAGCTACAAAAACATTTACATTGTTACACCTTATTTTGCATCTGATATACTTAAATACTATTCACTCGACTGCAACGAGCTTTCCGTTTACTGCAAAATCTCTCGTTTTATGATTGAGAATCATTGTTTTTTATAGATGATCACTTGGAATCGCATGTGTGAAGTGCCATAAATTGAAAGGATAAAATTTGTACTTGACTTCCAGTCTTCCGTGCTAACTACTTGGAAATTACCTATGAGACTGAGAAACAACCTAAAAGTCCAATTAATACAAAAACTCGTTCCTGTTAGGAGAGAAAACTAGTTTGTTAAGAGTGAATTTCCCATGTGAAGGGTTTGAAAATATCCACATTTATATGAAACTACTTATGCAGTCGGATTATATGTATATTATGGTTGTGCATACCGAGGTACTTGAAGTCGAATTTCAAGCCGAATGCTTCACACAATGTCCCTTTATCCATTAACTATCTGATACCGTACGCGTATACCCTGTAAGATTTATGATTACATGTTATAATTACACTGACAAGCAATTATTGTGTATCTGAATACACAAAAACGCAAAGAGTTATTAAAATGGAATATTTGAATAGATGCAAGTAAACAGGAACAAATAGAAATAACCCGCTGATGTGGTAACGAAGGACCAAAGCAATTCATAAGCAACAGCGTAAATCTGTATCTATGCCTTCAATAATTTGGTGTAATTAATTCAGAAGTGATTTTTCAAGGTGAACAAGAATAATGCTGATTAAAAGAGATGATTTCTGAATAATCGACATAGTAAGATGCATATATCCCTGTAACTTTTAGTGGCCCGAGATCTGACTCCAGTTAGATCGCATGATTGATTGTTATTGAAATAAGTATGTCGGCTATCCTCGTACGTAATAATTTACTTAATCCGCGTTAGTGAATAACGGAAGTAAATAAGTCAAATACGAGAATGGATTTTGAATATGCATATCGCATGCACCCATTGATTAAAGCAGGCAATCAGGGAGAAGCAAAGATAAATGACGCGCAGTGGAGAAGGCGTATGAACTAATTCAATTTAATCAAGCGCTAATCGATATTTATAGTCAGGCAAAAATAAGTTACAGATATACGATGAGCAAGAAAAGAAATGCACACACATACGCTTATATAAAAACAGTCAGGGTTGACAAGCGAATAATTAACAAGGTCAAGACGTAACCCTAGAAGAATGGATAAACTGGCCTGTCCAGAAGCTAGAATAAGTTATGTGGGCTTAGCATAGTAACCGACACGACAAGCCTATAAATTCACCGGCTGGAAATACTTACAAACTCGAGGAGTCTCGTAGGACTTAATTATTCTATTACTAACGAGTAACATACTGACCGTTGTTGCTGCCTCGACGTAGTGGTCGGGCTTGTCTATCGTAATGAACCAATCGAGCTATACTGACTGTAACTATCGTTCCTGAAGGTCCTACCATGCCAGACAGGTCGGTTGAAGAACGGCAAAACTAAAGGCAGTAAACCCAAGGTTCGAAGGCGAAGTCGTACTGCTGACTGTACAGAGGTGTGACGATAGTAAGGTGTTTCTGATATGATGGAAAGAAAAGTCGATTTTCGATTGATTTAATGATTATTGGTTTTGTTCAATATTATTTCCGTTTTGATTCAATGTAATGATTACTCAATCTAATATTTGTTTTGTTTTCTCGTATGATATTTTATTCTGTCTAATATGCGATATTCTTGTATTCCATTGACATAAACTATGCTCAACATGTGATTTGTGATAACTGAGTATTTTTATGTATGTGATTTCATCCTAATTATTAATCAATTTGTGTGTACAATCAATATATAAATGAGTGTGCTTTCGACTAGGTCTTTGTCGTCGTGTTTAGGGATCAATAAATCTTCACTTATACCAAACTTTGTGTTCTTACTTTCGAGTTGTGGGAATTCCAGATGTCCCTCGTCCCGAGTATAAGTGATAACCGTTTCCGAAATAACAATCAGCGACGACAGGATATAACAAGAAGTATTCAAACAACAAGATATAACAATTGGCGACGGGGATTTCGGAAAACATTGACAAGCTAAAACAGTTTCCTTCAGGCAACCAGCATAACAGCGATGCTGCCTTACCACAAGGAGTGGTGTGATTAGAAAAAGTCGACCACAAAAATGCACACCTCGCCTTATCCCACAGATATCCGTCTCCAGCGGTAAGGTCTCGACAAGTACGGAGCTAACACGAAAATTATCCATAAAAAGGTCGTATGTAACCGACCTCAAGCAGTTGTCTCTTGGGCACTATGGTCGTGCTCTCAGGTCACTAAGACCACATCTAATCCAATTTCCTTCCCAGATACTTCTAGAAGAACCCTCCCACGGTGTGGGCAAGCGGGAAGTGATAACGGCCCTCATACCTCTAACAGCACTCAATACCACTGACTGAACGAGTAACATATAATACCTAAGATTTCATATTTAAATAAATACTTAGAATACAGTACACTCTCCAATGTTAGTAAACAGTACCTGAAACAAGAATTCTGTGGCCAATACTCACTAATACATTCAGTTTAACCTTATCGGTGAAATAAACTCATTAACTCACTTTACCCCATTATACGATGATTGTAAGAACAATATCTAGAGAGCAACCATTGTTCAAAATTCTCAATAGTCACCTTTCATGATATTTGTATTACTGCAGTATGTTAAGATTTGTGTGAAGTTATTGCATTTCACTGAACAGTCACATTCTTTTTTCTAGATTGCCGTTATTATCACCAAACATAAACGAGTAAGTGATATAAAGAGGTCGTCATGTACTGTAACCCTTCAAATGTTTATTAGGAAGCTTAGAATTTTACAAACGGTACGGTAAAATGGTTTTGGAAGAAAACAGAATACTAGTAATATTTTAAATTTATTTAAGCACATAAACATTAGTACAAAGGGGCACCGAGTACATTTACACCACACAAGTCTCTTCATTTGTGTGTGGGCTGTGATAATACCCGAGTGTACAGATACAAGTAGGTGGTCTTCTTAGGTGACCGCACCCGGAGACTTACACCTAAAGGTCTGATCCAAAAGGTGGTGGAGCAACGTCGGAAGATTCAGTCCCATGGTAACCGGTTACCAACGATTGGTTCATACGCCATTTGTTCCTTCGGAATCCTGTAGCCCATGTGCACCAATGATTTGGAATCAGGGTTTTCCAACTCCCCTAATTGGATCCTCCATATCCATCAACCCGGTTAAAGTGCTGGAAATCCGCTTTCGGTCCTCTCAATTTCGTAAACAACACCCCCGCCGCGAGAAGGAAGTAAGTAAAACTTCCGTGACAGTGGTTGTACACGCGTGGCTATGCAAGAGCATTCTGACCGGGAAAGCGCACTCTCCCCACCGTCAGTTGTACCAGGGTATTTAGAGGCAATATTTCAAATACAGGAAAACTATCTACATATGAGGCATTGTCCATATATACACTTAAATAAATCTAGTTTGCTGTAAAGCAGTTTGAAATTAGATGTAACAGCAATATAGAAGACCAGAATCCAGTCTTACTGAAATAAAACTATATGCAATTGAATATTTCTTCACTGAAATAAAATCATCGTTGTTTGGGGAGAATACTTAAGTTTTTCGCAGTCTTAGCCATACGTATTTTAAACCCTACCACTTTAATTGTTCAGGTTGTATTGCACTAAGATAATAACATAGTGTGACAAACCTCGTCTACTCGTTGCAATACACAAGCTTGTCAAAGAGGTAAACTGTCTTAAAAAACTAATATCACTAGTACTGTGGAATATAAATTATTAAGAATATTTGGATGGAAAACTCACTAGTAATTTGAACAGCTACTGATAACGAACGAGTAATAATTAGAAAATAATTTATCGATTAACGAGTTATTAACGCATTAACTTGAAATCTCACTAATTTTACCAATGTGTATTCTTGACTGATGTACTCGAGACCTAAGCTAAACATATCGACATGTTTCATGGGTTTTAATAGAATATATAATTTGGAATGTCTAGTTTGTACCTAGTGGAAACAAATTATGGATATTCCCGTGAATAATCACTTCTGGCCACGTGTACAACGCAAGCAGTTAGCAGCGCTACTTTTATGCGTGTGAACTTGAGGCAGACTCATGTAGAAGCTGATGGTAAAGTAAAAATATACTCACCTAATGTATCAAACAGGAATTCAAGAAATTTTCACCATTTGATACGGTGAGATCGAATTTTTGGCTAATGAAGAGCATAGAGAAGTCTTAAAAATATCATTGAAGTGAGAGACACGACTGTGTGGTCCCAATAGTGTCGTTGAAAACTGAATGAGGTGACTAAAGGTTAGAGGAATATTATTGAGGCAATATTAACACAGGTCAATATATCCATTACTACTATTAGTGAAGATAACCGAGGAAAACCGTGCAGAGATCTAGTAACGTAGTTAAATAACATAAAATTTCTACAGAACTTTAGAATTTAGACCGGTTTATTCCAGATACGCACGTAAGGTATTACATAATTGAAGTAAATCAACGATATTTTGTTGCACAGATTCGGGTGAATATAAATCTATATCGACCATAGACAATCGCGAACTGGAGCGCTCAAGTACAAGGATTTGAGCAGAGCTTTCAGTTAGAAAATAATACTAAACGTAGGATAATTTACAGTTTTATTTATAAAGTGCCTAGGTATCAAGTAGAAGTTTAGCAAATCAATGTTAGTGAAGTATTTATGCACTTCGATTTCCTTTCTCTCGAAGACACTGCTGCTTTAATATTTTGGTATTGCTTTCCTTCATTCCCATATTCCTAGAATGCTTTTCTTGAGTTTCTTTCATTTCTCCAACTAATTGGATTATTTTGTTCTACATGATAAGATGCCGCGTCAACACAAGATCAATGGCTTACAGACACTTCGTATTGCTGAATAGCTCGTCGTCTTTGTCCTTGGCTTGTAAATTGAGGGTTAGCCTTTCCTGAATATTACGTTAGTCAATTCAGCTACAAACCTATGACAATGTAGTCTGGTAAATCGGTTAAAGGTCCCCACTCGTTGTTACTGGGAGGCAACCGACGTCTTTCAGTTAAAACTTTATGCAATTTTATACAAACCTAGCCCTAAATAATCCCCCAACTTGAAGATCAGCCGTCTGGTGAATTTGTCTGACAGTGATAAATCTTAATACACGCGCCATACTTTGACCCAAGTGACCTACATATCAAATGGTACAAATGGTCATGGGAGGAATAGAAGAAGCTCTCCCCTAACATTTAGCAGCAGTAGATCAATGATGCCTACAGGTAGGAGCTTAGGTATATTAAACGATGAAAAGGGAAATGGCAAGTTATAGTGTAATGCTGTCCTGATTCTTCAGGAATATATCACGTTTCGATAGTGTTTAGGAAGCTATGAGTCACTAAAAAGTTGCCTATAGGACTCCAGCACTACAATGAGTTAAGATTCAGCTATTTGAGACGCTCTTCAAGAGGCTTGAATTTGAGTCCTCAAACGGGTTTCATGGTTTGGCGTTGGATACGATCCAGTATATCCTTAACCCTTTAGAGTGAAGTGGAAACCCTATATTTTCATCCTCTAGATGAGGCATCTTTAGAGTGGAGTTCCACAATTTGTGTGCGTGGTCTGCAAGACGTTTTAAAGGAACAACTTTACACTTCGAAGTGTTGAAAGTAATTCCGTTGTTGTCCGCCCAACTTTGAAGCCGAGTTAGATATTCCTAAATTGTCCGACTTCTCCATCCTTAGGTATTTCTCCGCGTTAAATATTGAACATCTATTTTCCTGAAGATCTCGTGTTTAGCTTTGGGGATTATGTGGTCATGGTTCAATGCCACTACACATCTATGAGTATGACCAGTAGAGCTATACTATGAAGTGTAATTGGTCCATCACTGTTTTCCCTTCTCATCATTGACGTGTGCTCACTCTTCCAACACAGGAAATCTCAACTTTATGTCGATGATCTAAGAGTGATTCATTCGTTCTCGTCTCTTTCCAAAAATTATTCCAGCGGTTATCTAAGAAGACAAAAGCAAGTTATACGAAAGAACTGTGTCGTGGAATCCATCAATGAGTGCTCAAAAGGGTGAATTTATTCACATTAGTAGCATGCCTGATCTAAATCTGGTTATTCACAAAAATATACCGAAACCCCTCATTACTGTTCATGACTCGGGTTTGAGGTTTAGCAACGGCTTGAACTTTTCCGTGCACATTGCATCACAAGTATCCAAAGCAAAAAAGCTCATTGGATTCGTAATGATAAATTTCAATAATTTTGAATGGATATTATTAATGCATAAATATGTATCATATCCATTATTAAATATAATGTTCTAGTGTACAGTAATTGCAGACATAATGACTTGATGAAATTAATGTTCAAATATAATACATTAGAGCGGTTTCGGGGTACTCTGCGCTCAACTTCTCGTATAACCACTAGCCAACTTAGATCACTCACTTCTTGTTATTTCGATATTCTACCAAATATATTTTCGAGCCTCTTCGTATTTGATTCTGATTTCACTGGGTTGTCACGTCTCGATTATAAGAGGTGTTATTTGTTAAGGTGTTGCCGAGCTCCAAATGCCTGTGGTATCTTTATGTATTTCTTAATTTACGACGTCCATCCCTTCGTACCCTATTATAACATCCTACAATCTGCGCAGTAAAGCAAATATCCTATCGATTTCGGCAAGCCACATAAACTTACTCTAAAATTTCTTCGTTATTCGCTATTCATTCATGTGAGACAGATTACCAGTAAACCTCGGTTGTACTGAAACTATGTTCATATTTATTATTATTATCATGGTTGATCCCTTAGAACTCTAGTCATTCCTTTTGTTCGCTTTTCTTCCCCTCTCTTTTACTGCGATACAAATTTCACTACTAAGCATCCAAATTTCATGAATGAATACACATTATTTTGTATTACACTTAAATGAATCAAATTTTCCAATTCATTTCATCTTCATCACACGATTTTGACTCATACAGATTATTATTTGATAAGTTTTTGTAAGATCTTTCTAAAGTACTACTGGACAAACTCTTACTCTACCGTCAAATCTTACTGCATTACCAATTTATTTTCTTATTTATTTTTGGATTTATTCGGTTTTAAACATTTTACCTTTTATTCTTATCCTGTCTTCACTAACGAACTTACCAAATTATTTACACATTTCATGTTTCCTTCTGTCATCTTTTCCCTTGTTCATTTATGTAACTTCAAATCAGTATCCTTCCGTATTCTACGGAACCTGTTTAAATATGGCAAGTATGATGCAAATATTGCTGAAACTTGCGCATAAACGCGTTTCTGAAGAAACTCGCAGTGATTTCTCCACAAAAGTTACGTACCACTAAGATGTTTGTGAATAATATTTCAGGTTTGATTGAATGAATTTTCTTATTTCATCAAAGGCAAACTGCATCTTACTTAAATGGTGTCGGGTAGAACATTCACATAACTTCCACAGACATCTTGCTTATTCTACTGAGAATATCACGGATACTCAGGATTTGCGGACACTACTGTTGGAAACTATATATACAAGGATCACAGAGTCAACCAAAAGGAAATCGAAAACGAAGTTATGCGAAGATATATTCGAACAGTGGTCGATGAGTTAAAGTGTTTAAAGTCTTACCTAACTAGTTATAGGGCAAATGGCACAGGTATTCAGTGTTTGACAACGCTTTTACCAGTAACACCTAATATATTTCGTTCCCACCCAGAGAAATAAAAAGACAGAGTCGAGGAGATCGGAAGAGTGTATTTGGCGATTACCAATATATCGGAATTCTCTGATCTAATCTGGCTAGCGATTGCGGAAGAGGTTGAGCATAGCGTTACCACACGTGATCTGGTGCGGATGCATGACCGAGTGCCTTCAGCTAGATGAGTCCACTAAAACATATGGTCAGCATCCAATGTCGAAAACTTACAGAGCTATTTATTTTGGGGATTTATTTGCCGCTACAGATCACTCCCACCTAGTGGGGTAGTGATGACCCTAAGACGTGGACAGCCAGAAGTTTAAACCCAAGGAGTTTGTCGTTGGTAAACACTCTTCTGATAGCTTACTAGGTTTAGCAGCGTCTGGTCGTCCTTCCTTTCCATATGGGACCGAGGTACAACATAGTAAAAAAAGAAAAAGTACAATGAAAATTTCGGCTCCTTGTAAACTGCATCGTTCTTTTCCAGCCGCCCTGGAAAAGAAAGAAGAAAATGTAAGTGCATGTCGAAATACACTCGTATGTGCATAAAAACGCAATGTCGGCGAAAAAAAGGAAAATAAACTCAAGCACACATAATAGCGTTAAAATATTTTTTACGTTTTTTGTTTGTTTGTTTTCAAAATAAAAATATATAAGCATATTAAAATTGTTTTAAAAAAATATTATATATCATAAAAAAAGATCGAGATAATATAAAATGTCGAGTAGTGCCTTACGTGCAGTAGTCGTTTAAATGTTTTGGAAATCTTACTCTCCTTCCAGAACGTGTCGTTTTAAGCCTATTTTCAGACACATTCGGAGTGTCATCGCTAGTGTTGGTTGTCGGTTGAGGAATTATGAGTGTAGGAGTCGTGTCGTTCGATCGTACCGAAGGAAAATCGACATGAATAGGATTTCATTCTAAATACGCTGCTTTTAAGCGATCGATGCTGATGCTATCGTTTGTTCCGTTCTTATCGACTATATAGTACTTAGATTCACGTTGAAGAACTTTGAAGGGTCCTTCGTATGCTCATTCGAATTGTCGTCGATGCGAGTCTCGACGAACGAAAACGTGTGTACTATGTCGTAAGTCAGGTTGAACGAAAACATCGGTTGATTGTGGTCGAGTGGAAGCAGGTTTAGCTGAACGCATTGCGTTTGTAAGCCTGTTCGTGTAGTAAGTTACATCCATGCTCATTGAAGAGGATGCAGGATCCACGAATTCTCCTGGAAGTCGAAGTGTCGTTCCATAAACGAGTTGAGCCGCAGTGTATCTAATGTCAGCTTTCACTGCATTGCGGATACCCAGTAAGACGAGTGGAAGCGCGTCGGTCCACTGAGAAATGTTTACAGCTGATAGTGAAGCTTTTAGTTTTCGGTGAAAACGTTCTACCAACCCGTTTGCTTGTGGATGGTAGGCGGTCGTTCGGAAACGAGCGATTCCTAAAAGTGTGGTCAGACGACGGAAAAGTTCAGATTCAAACTGACGTCCGAGATCTGGAGTGATGGTTGAAAGGCAGCCGAAGTTTGCTACCCATCGTTCGATGAAGGCGCGGGCCACTGTTTCGGCAGTAATATCCTTGATAGGTACTGCTTCTGGCCATCGAGTGAAACGGTCTAATCAGGTTAAGAGATAAGAGTATCCATTTGTATCTGGTAAAGGTCCCACCAAATCCAGATGAATATGGTCGAAACGAGCATCGGGAGTTTTAAACGAGCCTAAGGGATATTTATTGTGTCTGATGACCTTAGATTTTTGGCAGCTTACACAGGAGCGTGCCCACTCCCTCACGTCTTTATTCATGCCAGGTCAGCAAAACCGTTCTGCTATAAGCTTGATGGTTGCACGAACACCTGGATGAGAAAGTTTGTGCAACGTATTGAAGACGTTGCGTCGATAATGTTTCGGCATGATTGGGCGATCCCTACCTGTAAACGTGTCACAGAGTAAGGTTTCCTTACCTGTCCCCATCTGTTTGATGCCTAGTTTGACGGTTGTGGACGATAACTCGTGCTGAAGATCAGTGTCTTTTTTTCTAAGCTGGGCGAGTTTAAGAAGGTCGATTCTTTGGAAACTGTTCAAGGAAGTTGTGCGAGACAAGGCGTCTGCAATTAAATTGTTTGCTCCAGAAATGTGTTGAATGTCTGATGTAAACTGCGGAATGTAGTCCAGTTGTCGAGATTCACGGGGTGAGTACTTATCTGGGGGAGAGTTTAGAGAGAAGGTGAGCTGTAGAACAAGGTTAGGCTAGAGAAAGAACAATATATTTAATATGAATAGAAGATATAAGGTAACATTCAGCAGAGACCACGCCTGCATGGCCGAGCCATGCCACTCGATCAACTCCAGTCCATTCAATTCATTGTTCGCGCCTTCTCCATTGTTAGGTATTTCTCTGCGTTAAATATTGAATATCTATTTTCTGAGTAGTCTCGTGTTCACAGC